CGCTTTTTTTTTTCCATTTCTTTTTTCCTTTTGGATGAAAGTTTTGCATTCCGCCCTATAGAGCTATGTATTGATTAAAGATATATACATATATATTTTTGTGAATTTTCAATTGGCATAGATTTATGAGAAAATTTAAATTACCGACGCAAAAAAATCTATTTTATTTTTTATTTTGGATTCAAATGTATGAATGGAAGAAATATTCCATCATAGTGTCACACTGTCACACTCTCTTTATCACTTATGAATACAGTTATCACATTATTTATCATTACTATTATCATCATTTTCATTATCATATCCATCATAACATTGTTTTGTTAAAACATTTTTTTCAAGATTATTTTTGAGTACTTATATGTTGAACATTTTTCTATATACACAAAGGAATATGCAAAAAAAAGACTACCTGATATGTGAATTGATTGAAAGCTTTGTTACCATATTTTTCAAGAAATATTTTAATAATTATGATAAAAACAATTATCATTCGGAATAATTAAAACTGATTGATTTTATTATTTAAATCCTGATTGTTTAAATTTTCAAATTTCCAATGGAAACGGATATTTACAGACACCGGTATTACAGCTAAATTAAATATGCAATATGCTAAATTAATAATAACTAATAAATTTGAATATTCAACGATATGACAAAATGTAAAGAAATAATAAAATATATTTGATATAATTACTATCTTGAGCTAAGATTTAATGCCTCATCAGATTCTGGCATGAGAAAACGCACCGGTTTCGGATTCAGAATTGCATTATTTGGTGCTTCAAGATGATTCGAATTCACGAACGATGATTGGCTCATCAAATTTGTATAATTATTTGAAGCACTTTGATCGATACTATTTCTTAGTGCTAAAATTCAGAAATTAATATTTGCAATTATTCATTTCTCATTATATTTTAATCATATTTATCAAATTTTTATCGGATAAAAAGGTTCTTATAATTTTACTAAAGTTGGAATAATTCGTTTCAAATGATTTTCTCAAATAAATAATCGACAAGTAATTGATGAAATATATTGAAATGATTTGATCAGTTTGCATCATAATTATCATAATTTTCATAGTTTCATAGTTATTCGAAGATAATTAGCCTAATTAACTAAATTAAAATTTAAAAAAAAAATTTAAGAACAAGAACAAACATCGATGAATGCAAATTTCATTAGAATGATGACTTTCACGATGCCGACGACGATCAACCTTACGTTGAAATGTCCTGCCACAAATATCACATGAAAACGGTTTATAGCCGGTATGCTTACGTGAATGTGTAATTAAGTTGGATGATTGAGAAAATGCTTTACCACATACCATACATTTGTGAGGTTTCTCACCTGGTAAAAATATGAGAGATGATATTGTAATAGTTTTAAATGGAATTAATGTATAGTAATAAATTACTAATTGCTTCTTACAATCACTAATTATAAGGTTTATCATGCAGCACCATAATTGTTCTTTAATTTCTTCTAAAATTAATAATTATAGTATTTACTAATTAGCAAATATTCTAAAGTATTCTATGTATTATCAGAATGGAAAATTTGTTGAAATGAAACAATATTTAATCGATGGTTTCTATTGATTAAACATTCTTTAAATCAGTTATACATTCATCTTTGATTCAATTAATTTGTCATATTCAGTAAAATATGAATTAAATGCTCAACAGATGTTAGTATAATAAAATTGAAGTCATAAAAATGGATGCCTTTGTTATCGATAATTCGTTTGCGATTTAAATCAAACATAAATATAAAATAAATTAAATAGTAATTAATAAATTGGAGTGGTTGCATGAATTGAAATGTTTCATTCAATTATTTCAAATTTATCATTGCATTAAAATTTTGTCAAAAATGAAATATTTTAAGTTCAAAAAAATCGTTTTCTTTTTCTTTTTTCTTTGTTTTTCTGAAATTTGAATTTATCATGAATATTATAAAATTTATTCGGATTTTACGATCATTTTCGCATATTTGATCGTTTCAATTTATTGTATTATTTTAAAACAAAATGGAAAGACGGAAAAGGGAAAAAGAGAAAGAAAAAAGACATATAAGATTTTTAATTAAAATTTGATTTGATGAAAAAATGGTAAAATACTACTTTATAGCTATTGTTTCAGTCATATTTAAAAAGAAATTCAACATCAGAATATATCGAGATAATTAATAATTGAAATAATGAATAACTAAATGAATGAAATTTATTTACCTGTATGAATATATGTATGTTTTTTCATATCTGATTTTTGATGAAAACGTTTACCACAATAATCACATGGATATGGCCTTGTATCACTATGAATAAGTAAATGAGTACTTAAAGTTGAGGAACGTTTAAATGCTTTTCCACATTGCTTACATTCGAATTGCTTCTCAGAAGCGGATATTTTTGAGCATTGATTGTGTTGTTCAAGTATATGTTGCTAAAAAGAAAAGAAAAAAGTATTTTTTAAAATTTTAAATTTAAAATTAATAGTTTGAAAATAAAAATTTTCATACTTCCTCACATTATTCTTCTCTTTTTTCCTATTTAAAATACATTTAATAATAATTTTTGCCATATTTAAATTATCGTTAAAATTTCTTTTTATCATAAATGATTTCTCTAATAGCAATCTTATCATAATGTATAAATTAGATTATCAACTCATACATTCCTATAAAATATCATTTTATATCGTTTTTGCTTATCAGTATTGTTTTTCTTACCCAAAATTTAAGTAAGAAAGATATTAATAAATGCATAACTCATTTCATAAACAATTTAATTTGATTTGATATTATCAATGAATTATTAGTTTATGCTATTAATTGATAATAAATATGATGCTGTCATTTCAAAATCATTTAAAAATACCATTTGAATTATTGATTATTTAATTTGATTCTATGAAATTACAAATTCAAAGTATGAAAATGACTAGCAATTTGTTCAACGACTTTAAAACTTTCTTGGAAAGTTTTTAATTGAAAGTGAAGAGTAAGGTAAAATGATTTACTTCTAAGGAATATGTATTAATGAATAGTTTGTTGCAACTCGCGCAAGATTGCATATTTCTTTCTCCACTGCTTGCAGCTGCAGCAGAAGCAATATGTATTGGATATAATTGTTTTTCAGGAATAACCCGTTCTACATTACTTGCAGCTTGCAACCTTTGCAATGTCATCAAGTTCAATGCTACTTGTCGTAAATGTATATTCCATGCAATTTGGCTCGCATTCGAATTTGCTGTTGCAGTTTCACTGTTGTTAGACAAGGATGGATAGAGTTGTCGTGCAGGAAATGCACTTTGCTGCAGTGCTTGCATCGGATGATATGCTGCAAATTTTGATTGTTATTTCAATATATTGCAATATTAAGGAAAATCCCGCCATAAACCTTTTTTTTTCTGACAAATTCTTTTCCTAATCCAATTTAAGTTTTAAATTTTTCCTAAAATTGAAAAATTTTTATTTGCAAATAAAGTCTTATCGTATCATTTCAACTACTTATTTAGTTACATTTGCAATAAATTATGCAATCTGCAAATGAATTCTAAAATTGATTTAAAATTGAAATACGATTAAATTCAAAACTTCTCTCTTTATCAATCGAATGATTACTTAAATAATTAATACGAAAATAAATCGCAAATGGAATAATTAATTGATTAGTAAAAGGATAAATATTGGAATTAAAAAAGGAAGAGATGAATGCGACATTTAGTAATAGTGGGAATGCTTCAAGGAGACACTGATTATGACAAATCACTGCAATGCCATTGGTTGTTTGTCTCACTCTCATTCTTCTCTTCTCTCTTTCAATCTTAATCTATCTACCGTACTCTATCGCATCATTTTTATTTCAGATATTGGAATTGATCAATCAAAGTTATCAATATAATATAAATTAAACTTCATTTTTTTATCATACAAGAAATGACGCTAGAATAATACAACACGAATTGAATTAAAGCTGTAATTTTAAATTTTTGAAATTAAGTACTTAATTTTTTTTTTTTGGAATTTGACTACATTGTGAATGATAAAAGTAATCGATAATCTAAAATACTTTAATTTTACACAGTAATTCTAACTTAATAAAATACTATTGTTGATTTGATAGGAATGATTAAATTTTCAAATTTAATAATTATTGCTTATTTACTGCAAACAATTAACATAATTTGATGATATTTCTTAAAAAGTACTAATATCATTATTTTATAATGAGTAATTAATTTCAAAAATCTGTTAAACAGTTCGAACCATTCACGAATATAAT